AGAGAGAGAGAGAGAGAGAGAGAGAGAGAGAGAGAGAGAGAGAAAGATCAATAGTTGCTAGAATGTGAGGGAATGGAGCCTTTTACCCTGTTGGTGATAAGGGTAGTGTAGCCTTAGTGAAAATTCTCCAAAAACTAAAGTAGAAGCACCACATGACCCAGCTGTAGCACTCCCTGACATACATCAGCAGAAATTAAAGTCAGCATACTCCAGAGTTACCACCTATGTACCATTTTGGCATGAGTCACAATAGCCACGATAAGATCCAGCAACCCTTCAACAGTTGAACAGCTAGAGATGTGGTATATGTAAAACAAGGGGTATTATTCCGCCATAAAGAAGAACAAAATCATGTCACTTGCAAGAAAATTGATGGAGCTAGAGATCTTCTAGACAAAATAAACCAGACTTGAAAAGATGAGTATCACACTTTTTTTTTTTTTAAAAGAACATACATGGCAACTAGAGGAAAAAAGACAGAAGTGGAAGGGAGACTACTGTGTTGGAGAAGAATAAGAGGGTTGACTGGGAGAGAGCGGAAGGGACCAGGAGGGTCACCAGAGGGCAGATAGGATTGAAGTGCATTATATGCATTTATGAAAATGCTGAGGTGAAACCCAACATTCTGCATGATTAATATGCATTAATGGAAATAAAATAAGAAAAATTTCTTCTCCAGCCTCACAAAAAACATTATTTTTTTTCCATAATTTTATTGAGAAACAAATTGCAAGTGATTGTTTTTTTTTTTTTTTTTTTTTTTTTTTTTTGGGTGGCCTCATATTTTTTTTTTTTTTTTTTTTTTTTTTTTTTTTGTTTGCTGTTGTTGTTTTTTGGTGGAACCAGGGATTGAACTCAGGCCCCTGCACTTGCTAGGGAAACGCTTATTCCACTGAGCCATCTCCCCGGCCTGAGAAACAAATAGCTATGAGACAGTTTCAAATCAAATTGGTTGGACAGTTCCAATAATTAACACATTGCATACTCTCTTCCTAGTGGTTATTTGCTATACAAGATGCAGCCATGATATCCTATTTACAAACACTATTAGAACAAATCCCTCTATTCATTAAGAGTATGTAACTATATATCTATCCTAACCATTTTGAATACAGATACAAAATGGACATTCATGTGTATCTCCTTTTTTGTTTAGTTCTGTCATTTGAATATAAAACAGTATGTTTGTGAAGAGTAAAAGCTCCATCCAGCCACCTCGAGGAGGAGTGAGGACCCTCGAACAGGCAGAACCTCACTGTGTACAAATTTGTCTCCAGTTTTATTTTTTCAGATGAATAGTTAAAAAAAATCTGCTAGTTTTTCCCAGGGGAAGGATAGTTTTGTCAGGGTTTTGGAGCTCAGCTGTTAGTCGGTGTAATGATGGTCAACCTTTTCCATGGGAAAGCTTAGAGAGCTGCTGGATTTGGACAACAACGGACAGAGGAGAAGTTGGAAACTGCAGACAGAAAATCGATCTTGCCTGAAGGGCCTCCGAAGGGGGCTCTGCATTTGGCTGCGGCCCACATCTGTGGGCTTTGCCTCTCTGAATGGAAACTACAGTATCTTGAGGCCCAGGTGTTTATCTGAGGCCTTTTTAATCTCTGGAAGGTTAATAGGGTACCACACCATTATGCTCCTGTGCACTTTCATGCATGGAAGGCCTTTGCTGTTCCCTCTCCTCTGTCACATTCTGAAACTTGCTTAAAATTTCCCCTTCAGCTTCCCAGTGGTGGTGGGAAAGCCTTCTGTGCATTTCACTATTTTAGGTTGTTTTGATCTCTGTGGTTTTATTGCCTGCATGCAGAAAATTCCTTTAGGTCTGACGGGCATTAAAGATGAAATATTAATTTGCTTTGATTCTGGAGTCCCTCTCCTGATGCAGCTCAGCATTGGCATTGATGCTTTATTTTAGTCAGAGCCTGGCAGAAGCCTGAAATGAAAAGCATGGCTGTTTCCTCTGTTGAATGTTCCTTTTTATTACCTTTCTTTCAGCACTCCCAAGACTTTGAATCCCAGAGACTGGGTTCTCATTTTTCTCCCCTCTGTGCAGTGGCTCTCTGTGTTGGCAAAGAGTTGGTGATAGCACTGTTATGGGGAACAGCATTATTGTAGATGAATGGCACCCGTGGGGCTTAAGAGGAAGAAAATATGGGCTTTCTACAAATCTCTCCACACTGAAGGCATCGAGGCTAGGGTTTTGAAAAGGGTTATTCCTTTGAAACAATTTACAGTATTAATTTCAGCATGATCACACTAGAGATTCAAATCTGCTCGGTTGGCTAGCAGCAAGTGGTCCTATCTGGCCCATCTGTGCTACCTGGTGGTTGCCATTGGGTCTTTGGCAGGAAGCTGGGGCTTGGAGGTCTACTTCTAACACTGTCTCCTTTGAGTGAGGGTCAAGAGGGGACACCGTTAGCTGCCTGTTCTGCAGAGGTCCTGTGTTGGGCAAGCTACTCTGCCAGCTATTCTGCTGCAGGAGGATTCCTGAAGAGCTTCTCTGATCTCTTCATACTGTACCTGCAGGCTTCTGCAGCTGTCTGAGAGCAGGACTGTGATGTATCCAATCTGGCCAACATGCATAGGCTACAGGCATAATTGAAATATTCTGGATTTAAAGACGAATTTTGTTTTCTGTCTTAAAACAACCATCAAATTCAAGGAAAAAAAATAATTCTAGTGATAACATCCAAGTTACTGAAAAAAGATTTCTGAGATATTTCCCACAACAGCAAGATTGAGTTGCATGAAAAAGAGAT